GTCATCTGTTGGCACCCAGTATTATCCAGTGTCATCTGGTGACATCAGGACTACAAGCAGAGCTGCACTTTTTTTTTTTTTTTTTTAAAGTCTCGCTATTGTAGTTCAGATTGGCCTTGGACTCACTATGTAGCCCATTAGACTTTGAACTCACGGTGACCCTCCTGCCCTAGCCTCCCAAGTGCTGGGAATATAGGTGAGTGCCATCACAGCAGAGCTGCATTTTGCCAATTCATGATTTCCATCTGAATCAAGGAAAAGAACCCTAGGCAACACCCTGTTCCTTTGGTAAATGAAGAACACCTGGTAAAATGAATTATCTCATCTCTTTTATTTCAAAAGAAGCAAGGACACCAAGAAGCAGAATGAAGCAGCTAAGAGCAGCAAAGCTGCCAAGTAGAAAGGTAGAAAGATGGACTGGATTTTGGTGAAAGTTGTTGAATGCAAACCCAGGATTCTTCAGCCGCACCTAGATCACACTGGGTCCATTGGTGACAGGGCTTGGCCCGATGAGAGCTGACCACAAGCCCAGACCAGTCAGGCACATGCAGTTCTCACAGAGCGGCTGGAAGGCACTGTATCGGGCAGCGGGCGCAGCTGTCCTGGAAATCCTCCTCGGCTGGGCCACGAGTGCCTCTTCATACCTGAAGCACTGGTTCAAAGCTTGGTTGGTTCTCTTCACACCTGGGTCTTTCTGGTCTTCTTAAAAGCAGACGTTGGCTTCAATGATGCTTCCTGTCAGTGAGCTCCTGTTTTATTTACAGTATACTGATTTAACACGTTTCGACCAGTTTCCTTTCTATAATTATTAGAAATAATCGTAAGGCCTGTAATTAACAAATTGCATGAGATAAACTCTATGAGGATTTGTGCATATTAGATGATTTCTAATTACCAATAAAGTTTTGTGCACATTCATGTCTACTTTAACTGTTACAATGGGACTCCAGTGCACCTGTGGGAGGGGTCCGCCCTAGTGCACGAGCTGCCGCTTATCGTCTCTAGCTGAGAAGACAGCCCGCACAATCTTCAGGGTGTGCACGTGCATTTCTAGTTCTACAGTTGGCAACAAACCAAGATTAGGTGAGACTGTAATTCCAACATATGCAACGAAAAGGTCACAGCCATCATTTGGAGCATTAGAAATCTCCCTTTTAATTTTTCTCTATTGTGTTACAGCAGTGCGTGTTTTGGTCTAACTTGGTATGCCTAAAACCAGAAATATAACATTCTAACTCTCTTCATGACTCAGTACGTGGTTCTTCAGCCAGAGAGGGTCATCACTGACTCCCTCAGCCTTCATAAAATAAACCACCAATGAAGCTTTCCTGCCATTCGTTCCCATGCTCACTCGGATTCCCCAAAGGGTCAGAAAACACAGTGCACTGTCTCTGCCAAGCAGAGGGCACCGAAGCCTCCTCCAGGGGCTGGAGAGCAAGGCATGGGGACTTTCAGGGTATGCCCTCAAACGCCACAGGAGATCTATGAACAAGTTAGTGCTACACTGGGTGTATTAGAAATATTTTGCATCTACTACAGAGGTTTCAAGAGTTTTACCAGCGCATTCTCATTAGAAATATTTGATTTACCCCCACAAGAAAAACGTGATGAAAAGCATGTCTTCCTAACAAAAATAAAGCCCCAACACATACAGTTCCAAGCACCAAATTAAGGCGGTGAACAAAGCAGGAGCCAGCTTACAAGGCCAGGCCTGCTCTGTCTCAGCCTTGCCCTGTCACCCACCTGACAAGCTGCTGGGTTGGCACCAGTACCAGAGGAATGCTATCTGCAGACGAGGGCAACACAAGGAAGGGCAGCATCGTCCTTTTCTCCTTTTGAGGATGACAGTGACAGAGTAGACACACAGCAGAGGCCGGGGGACCCAACACTGCTGAGCCACAGCTGCCCAGGAAAGGGGGCCTTGTAGAGCTAGCTCCTGTGTGCTCCACAGGGCTGATGGGGAACCGCTCCTGTGACCTGTGAGCTCGAAGAATCTCTTATCCTTGCACACTGACCGCAGTGGGCCTGATGTGGCCCTGTCACTGACTGGTCTCGGGGCCCACTACACAGCGCTGGGCCATGCCTGGGAAGGGCATGCACGACGCAGAGGTTACATTTTTTCAACAAGGCTGCACACACTCTGCCCTCACAGCAACATGCCCCAGACCTCTGGGGCTGGGGCTGAGGTACGGAGCTGTCAAGACGTTGCGTGAACTCACACCCAGTGCAGGCAGGCAGGTGGGTGGGTGGGGTCACCCCAGGTTGGCACAGGGCTCAGCCAGGTGATCAGAATGAAATCTTCAGCTGGTAGTTCTCACCTAAAATAAGGCAAAAACTGTTTTTTAAAAAGTGCCTTACATAAAGAGAGGGAGGCCTTAGAGGTTCCACAGATGCAACTGAAGAATATGGAATGTATTCAGGGAGCAAGCTTTAAAAAGGTTTCTGTGGGGTATTTCACTGGCTACAACAGTGTAATTTAAAAATCCTGTGGTGCCGGGGCTCAAACCCAGGCCTTGTGTTAAACCCCTGGCCTTAGGGTATATTTTAAGTGTAAGGCAAGAAGATGTTTTCTGTTTCTGTCTCCTTTAATGGTAACTTTTGGACCTTACGGAGAATTAAATATCCCTCAACACAAACACCTATCAATGTAAATTTTCTTCTGGTTGCTATTTCCCGTGCAACCCAACTGCCTGTCCACTAGTATATTCTAACCCTTCTTGGAAGAACTAACTCAGAACATTATTCACTGCCTTACATTAGTCTCTTACACACACACACACACACACACAATCTTAGACTATAGAAAATCTGTTAATAAAACCTGAGAATCAAAGGGAGCCAGTTAAATCAGACTTACAACAGGATAAGCTATGAGGATGCCACATATATACTTTGCTATGAGATAAATGCAGGCTAACAGCTCTCCAGTGAAGTATATAAGCTTTTCTAATAATACCTTTCATTAAAATGAAAAGCTGTCTTCTCTCAGACCCTAATTTTGGTGAGAAAGGCTGGATTTCGTGGCTGGTTCACCCTCCTGGACACACCCAGGAGTTTGTGCCTCTAAACCAAGGACGCAGTGTGTGCTGCAGGTGGTGCCCCGCCTTCCTGCGCCCTCCTGCTCATTGGCCAGTGATGGGGCCCAAAGGGTTCCAGAGTAATCCCCATGTTCCAGCACAGCAAGTTCAACGAGGACATCCATGACGGGAAAAGCATTTCTCCTGCGATCTTCACCCACATCAGTTCCTTCAGTTTTCCAGAGAAAAACCGATCCACATAGCAGATTCTTCTAACTTCTTAAGCTGTCATGAATTTCACTGGGTTACTTTACTAAAAATATCTGGAAAGAACTGTTTATACTTCAGCAGTTTTCCTATTTACCTTTCCAAAAGGCTCAGCTTTTCCTTCTCTGACTTGACCTTTACATCCCACTGCCACCTATCTGTGGAGAGCACAACACGCATCACGCAGCCTGTGTCAGTCCTGGGACACTGCAGACCTGCGGCAGTCCAGCAACACCGGCGGCTGGCACGTTTTCCTGGGCTTGACGACTTTCCAGGTATGTTCACACTCACAGAAAACGTCTTCTAACACATAAGCATTCTCTACTATGCTTTATGTAGTCAAAGGCACCCACAAGAATGTTGTTCACTGTCACGGAGATTCCTCATCAATGCTTCAAATCTTAACTTCAAAAGCATCTTATAAACGGCTTTCGGTAGTCAGAGGTATAAATATCAAGTTTCTTATCTTCAGGATTCTTTCTCATTTTCTTAGAACTTTAGGTAGATACAGATACTAATTCACCTTTCTATTAAAAACACAAAAGGAACTTTCTACAAGGAACAGGTTTACAGTAGAAGTGAATGCTAAGTCTGTATTTAGCAAAGAGGATTTTATTACAGCTAAAAGGAAGCGGGAGCTCTACAGCATTCCTCATACTTTGCTTTTATCTAGTTTCATTTTTTACAGTTACAATCAACAGAATTTAAGGAGTAAATGGGGCCACAAAGTGTTGTGGCTAGAGGAAAAGCGCTTACACCTCTTCCAAACAGTCATTCTCCAGCGGCACTGAGAGTACATACACAACTTAAGACATAAAATTTGTGGCTAGGAAAATTTAAAAGGTTAGCATCTGTTCTTTTTATTTTTTAGTACTGAGGATTGAACCTTGCCACTGAGCTATACACTAGCCCTGAAGAACCCATTTTTGAATGGGAAGGTGATTTTAGTTTATAACAAATGTTCTGATTGATACATGAAGAGAAGCACAAACCTGAGGAGAGAAAAATCAGCTGCTTTTTTTTTTTCACCTGCTATTTTTAAAACCTTATGTTTCACGATGTCTGCAAACGTGAATGACTGGGTGGGAACAAAGAGTCCATGGTAGTGGAGAAGGTAATGCAAAGGAACATCGGAATGCTGGGTCTGGTAAAAACAAGCAAAGAAGCTGCTGTATTTCTAATGAAGACATTAGAACTTGAAAATGGAACTCTAAATCAATACTTTATAATAAAGTACTGCTGCTCATTATGTAGAACTGGTTTTAAGAACTCAGCATAATGTATAAATATTACATAGATTTTACATTTAGAATTACTTGATAATGTCCTTTACAAGTTCTTTACACTGCAAACTATACCGAAGAAAATTTAACTGCATAAACAAAGTATCTGAAATGTCCTAGAATAAACATAGAGTAAAATAAATATTTACACCTATCTTGACTCTAAAAGACTCTAAATTGTGCTGACAGAAATTATGAAAACTTAGGGAACTTTAGGGAACACCTTACAGTTATTTCAAACAAGCAGCAGGTATATTATTCTCTGTGAACATTAGTTAGTATTCCTAATTTCTACGAAATCTTTTAACAGTAATGATGTATGCAAACTTTAAGTACTGAAGTCTTGGTTTAAGAAGGCTTTTCTTCTCCTTCCGTACAATATAACTTACTTTAAAACAAATTATTTCAGATCACGTCAGGGTCACAAACAAGCAACATGTATATACTGTAATTTTATTTCAATCACACAAACGAAGTTAGCATGTAGGAAATTTAAATGAAACAGTTACGGTAAAAATAACAGAGAACTGAAAAATCTACAAAGGAAAATATACCTAAAGCATGAAAAGTCAACATTCATTAGTGTTTCATCTTCAGTTCTGATTGACACTTGATGCTTGCAAATTTTTAAACAAATTTTTAAATCATGATGACTATTCTGAAGAGATTTCAGCACCAGCACTAAGATTTGTACATTCAGTTTGCAGCTGACTTGTTAGCCGTTTACACAGCGTATAGTACAGATGTGTCACAGGTCAGATCACAGTGTTGAGGACAGCAGTACCTTCCTGTAACTAGAAGGGATCCCCGAAACTGTACTCAGCTGAAGACATTCAGGTACAACAGCACAAAGCCATCAGAATAATGTAGTTCCGAGAAACACAGTTTGAGAGGAAAATAACTTAAGCATCTGTTTCTCATTTTCATTACTGAAATCTCTAACAATGACGTGACTGTCATGTATGTCAGCAACACGGCAAATGTGCAGAGTAATTCAATCAAACTTCCTGGAGGGAACACACTTAACATCTGGTAGGATGTAGAACGATGGACAATGGAGCGTGACTCAACACTGGTTCTGTCATTTCACACAGATTTCATGTTTATATTAGACCAAGGCACAAATGTTTAGTGCATAAATCAGCTTCTTTATAAGATTTAGCATTTTATTTTAGCTTTTTATCTCACTTTGGACCACTTGTACCCAGTACTCTTACTGCAGACTACTTAATTTACCCAAGAAAATCTAAAGTGACTTCTGGCCAGATTTACAGAAGGCATAAATGTTTATATTGTCAAAGTGTCTACATAACCTCAAGTACAGTAATAAAGATGAAAATGCCTCCTATTCCTTTTGGAGAACAGTAATTCATAAGCTTGCTGCATCTGTAAAGCCTTTACTACAACTGCATGACAGTGAATACTTGATAGAAAAGCTGCATGCTCGTGTTACGATAGCTCACCCATCACAGTTTCATCCAACATGAAGCTTCTACAGAACAAACTATTTTAACAGGGAAGAAAATCCTCTCATCCAAACTTCTCTGTAGTGGAAATGACTGCACAGGGGCACCATTTAGAAAATAATGCTATCAACAAGCTTTGTCTTAGGCTTGGGATTTATAAAATCTAGAAAGCAGATGAAAGTGGATTATTTCACCAAAATTTTAGTAAAAGTTCCAATAATCAAAGATTTCAAAGCGATTATGGCACGTAACAACTCAAGCATAAATCAAGATGGAGAGCCTGAAGAATTTCTGATTTCCTAAAATTTTCTAAAAAATATCACTGCAACATAAAGGACTTCTCCCCCATTTTAATCTTACTAGTTTCGGAGGCAAGGGAGTGTACCATGCACACAGCACGCACACTCATGCACGCCACCCGCGCAACACAGGGTGGAAACAGTGTCTGGCTCCTCCTCCCACCTAGGCCTGGCTCCCTTTAATGAAACTGCAGCCTCCTCGCCTCGGTTTCCCTTTACCCAGTGATTTCCGTGACGTTAACTGCTGTCATCATTGTCATTTCTTGTATTTCAACGTGAACTTCAAAAGCACCCTCCCACCAGACTGTGTGTGCCTGAATTCCCGCGTCACTGTCAGGGACGGTGACACCTGACTGAGTGCCACGGTAAGATACAATCCACACGAAGCTCGGATTCATGTTTCAGACTGCTGGAATTACTGGTTAGAATACAGACAGCTAAAGACATGATGCAGAAGAGAAGTACTTGGTTTTGTTAACATATTTACCAATTAAAGTCACAAAATAGTTCTCATCACTATTCATGCAGGTAATTGAGAAAAAGTGCAGAAATTAACTTTAAATAAAAAGTTATTCCTTCCCTTCCTCCCACTCCCTATACTCTACAAAATGTTTTCCCTGGGTCGAGGCCTCGAAAAAGCCACTACTTATTAGTGTGACATGCATTACTGTCTGCAATTAAAAAAGCTAACCTTGTGGTGACTGGAATTACATTATAAAAATGCCCACATGCATACATCTAAAAAAGGTTGAAAACCTACAGTAAATCTACAATATTATTGTTTTCCTTTTGACCACTGGTTTGTGTTATGTAGAAGTCATAGATTTGGTAAAGCATTGTAACAATTTAGGAAGGCATCTAAATCTTTAAATTCTGGACGAATTTTATGTTTTAAACTACAAAATTGCATGAAGGCTAACTCGAGAGACTTCCTATCATTCTAAAATTCCTTAAGCTGGACCAATCATCTTTAGAATACTTTCTTATAAATGTCGTTCTTTGAAAGCACATACAATTCCATTTGTTTCACATTTTATGATCTTAACCTACACACAGGCTGATCTCAATTAATCATGGAATATCAAATATGATAGGAAGACAGACCTGAGAGAAACATTTACAATACAACAGCAGAACTTGCTAAATTCTTCATCACTACTTTCTGAAAAAGAACTCCGTAAGCCTTTCTCCTTATTTTAGCAATGGGCTGTATAAAATGTGCGGCTTTATCTCAACATGAAAATATTTCAATGCACGGCGTTCTTGTCTGATGGATGGGCTTCGTATTTTCTGTGCAACCGTTAGAGGAACTTGTCCACCACTCTTCCATTCTGTGGGAAAGGTCAGAGAAAAGCAGCCGGCAGAGAGGGACGGCGATCACAGAATCACAATGTCTGAGGCTTTCCGAGGACGCTGCTTTCCTCCTCTGACTGCTTGTCTCCATTTTCTTCTCACAGTCACAGAATTGTACGGGATTGCTGCTAAAGGTTACTGTTTGTAGGATTTTTTTTTCCTCTCTAGATTAAAGTTCTCTCTCTCTCCTTTTGGTTTTCTATGCAGTATTTGACTTGCTCAGTTCCTGCCTAATTGCTGGAAAGAAAAAAGTATTGAAAGTAAATAAAGTGATATAGATATGTGATTCATTTTTAAGCAACCTTTAAGGACTGTGTTTAAATTCACAGTAATAAAAGAGACAGATTTTGGATCTTTCATTGTGTAGGTCTGTTTTAATATTACGAAGATGATGCCAACCCTTACATGTGTTTATACTGGCTGTTTTCTCCCTTTGCACACAAAAAGAGAACACTGGTGCTTACAGGCTCAAAAACAAGGAGACCTCCTGAGAGATGGATGAGTAGAGATGACTGAGGGGAAAACCTCCTTGTTTTCCATCTAATTACAGGCCTTGTTCATCTCTACTCTTACAGATAATTTCCATTAGTAAGGGAGAGCTCCTCTCTGACCTCCTAAGCCAAACCAAGGGCAGGATAATGTAAAAAAGTAATTGCCCTCAAGTAATAAAATGAGTATTTCTTTATTTGCATTTTCTTAAAAATGGCAACTCACACCAGTATTTTAAAAGGGTAGGAAATGTGCTCAGACACTTACCATCAATGAGCTCTTCCTTTAGTTTTGTCAATTCTTTTCTCATTTCATCTAAAATGTCCTAAAACATCAGAGAAAAACATTAGGAAACAAAGTTTCTCACTCTGATAAAATGTTAAGAATGCTATAAAACACGAACAGTTGTATTGGTTTCCAGGGTTCCAATTCTATTTCTTAAGACGACTGGGCTTGTTTTGTCTTAATATTTCTCTCTCCCCAATCTTTGCTTGTCCTACCCTAGTGAGATATGAAACAGAATGCTTTCTAAAACTACAGTAACTACTCTGCCGTCAGTGAAGGCTGTGATTCAGTTTCCAGGAAAGGCAACAGCTCTGCTCTTAATCCAGCCTTTAGCAGCCGCGGAGAGGTGACGGATGGAGACACTCCAGGAGGAGGACGCTGCTGGACAAGTAGCTCTGGTAAACGTGGCCCTGGCTTGAGGTGTGGTGTTTCTCGGGAGCCACTGCTGCTGCCCAACTACATCTCAAGGAGTGGAGGTTCCCTGCAGGCCCCGGGGCTTCCCGGAGCTGAGACAGAGTGGAGGGGTGGGGAGCACCGGACGGCGGCTGCTCCAAAACAAGGTGCGCTGAACATACTGCAAAGGCAGCATGAGGAAAGTAACATAAAATAACTCATCACAATTCCAAAGCGCTGCTGGCTTCATCCCGAAGTGATTTCATCAACATTAGTTTCACCTGTTTGGTGTTTTAAACTGTGACTACTACAAAAGCTTGTGTGACCCGTATTATACTTCCACCTAACGACACTCTGGGCCCCGTTCAGGAAGCGTGGGCTCAGGGGTGCGAGGGCCATTACAGAGACCATTCTCCTTCTCTGGTGCCAGGGATGAACCAGGTGTCTTGTGCTTGCCAAGCAGGTACTCAGCCCAAGGCACACAATTTTAAGGGTTAAAAACCACAGCCACCTTTGGAAGGATCAGGTTTAAATTGTGTGCCTTTCTGTAATATTGGACAGCTTAATTAAACTGCTCTATGAAGGTGAAAATAAAAACTTCATATAGAAAGGAAGGTGGCAACTATCAGCTTGCCAGATTCCTCCATTTACCAGTGAAGAAACCGAGGCACCTACATTATTATGTGGATTGATAGACGCTCTTACTCAGATTAATCTTTCAATCATTCCAAAAGCCACATCTATTCCTTTTTCCATCCCCTAAATGCAGGTAACCACGAAGTTACCATATGTTCAAATGTGTGGGAGTTTCTGTTTTAAAGTGTTCTCAAGGCCGGAAGTGGTGGTGCATGCCTGTAATCCCAGCACTTGGGAGGCTGAGGCATGAGGATTGCTGTGAGTTCCAGGCCGCCCTGGGCTACACAGTGAGACCTTGTCTCAAAAAACAAAAACAAAAGTGTTCTCAAGGAAAGAAAGCCATCATTAATACATGAAAAAGAAGAGTTAATTACCATGACCACATGTTCCTATGAAACTTAATTTTTGGAACAGCTTTGCTGTATAAAAATTAGATTGATTTAAAAAAATTATGGTTACTGCTTGTAGGAATAAAATTAAAAGAAACTTGTAACCTTATCAACTGTTCCTGAGTATTTATATATCACATATAATGCATGTACAACCAAAATATGAACAGTATCTTTTTATTTTATGAAACTCATACAACTGCACGTACTTGTTTCATTATCTGTTTCACCTAACATGGGCAAGTGTTCACCAGTCACTGTTAAAATATGGCATTCATTGCTCAGTGGCTGCAGAACCTCCATCCCTCACTTAGTATTTGTATGCTTTTACAATGTTTTACATACATTTTATCTGCATAAGTTTCTTGAAGTGAAATTTCTGGAGCCAAAGACTTTTGATCTGTTTCCCTACACTGCTTCTTGGAAAGCAGAAGTACATAAGGTGCTCATTCCCGCTCATTTGTCCAAAATCAGATTTGTCGAGTCCATTTTGCCAACACAGTAGAAGTAGAAGCTGCTGTTTTCCTGCAAGCCACACTATGCACTTGAACAAGATGCCACACTCTGCCTTCCACTCCGCTGGACCTTGGTGTGAACTCACTGGGCAGAAATGAGGATATGAAGAGTGACCCGGTATGAATGCCACTGGTTAACTTGTAAAAAAAGATTTTAACTGTGGTCTTTTCTTTTTCTTTTAAAGTTCTGAGGATTGAACCCAGGGCCTTCTCATAGAGTTATATCCCTGGCCCTCTCTCATTTTGGGACAGGATCTTGCTAAATTGCCAAGTCTCGTAGGATACACTTGAATTCGCAACCTTCCTGCCTCAGCCTCCCAGAGTGCTGGGATTACAGGTGTGTAACACCATCCCTGGCTAAGTCTATGGTCTTTTAAAGAACATTCAGGATCCATGACCAACATATGCGGAGGCATTTAAAAAGAGCAACATGTAAGATGCAGGGAAGCTGCACTGCACGCCCACCTGCTTCAGCCTGTCGTAGTCAAGCCCTTCCGTCTGGACGCCATTGGCACTGGGCTGTGATGAAGGAGTGGATTTTGGTCTGTACAAACGAAATGTGCAGGACAGGTAAATGACACTTATGATGTTTAAAGAGTTCGTATTTATAAGCCTACCAACCCAACTCCAGACTTAAGTAACTTCTTACATGAAACACATTTTGTTTAAAGTTAACGCCCATAGCTGTCAGATTGACTGGAACAGAAAACAAAACACTTTTCACTGATCTCATTATTTTAAGTTATTTATAAAGAAACTAGAAAAGGTGATAAGACAGCAAGACTTTTTTGGTTAAGAGGCGAAGACAGCACTCTTTGGGCCTGAGGTGGGTGACTAGGGAGTGTGGCACGTTGACTATGCCCATGGTGAAGAGGCCAGTGGATACTTCTGACACCCAAACAATACAACCCTAACTCTAACCCTCTGTTGAAGTTTTACATTGTCTATCGAACACTCAGCAAATCAGAGGAAGGAAAGTATAAAGACTTGGATATTTCACTCTAACATGAATCAGTTTACAAATTTTTATGTATCACGAGAAGATATTTTAGTAAACATGATTTCTCTGTATATGTTTTATTCTACGCCAAACATTAAAATAAGCAAGAATGTTGAAAAATGATTACTAGGCAGAACTACACTCGTATCTAATTGGCTATTTCTAATTGGCTACAAAGGTTTCATGGAAACATCATGTAAATGGTGAGCTTCAGGCTAACTGCTCCATAAATTAGCTTTGCTTTAAAAAAACAAAACAAAAGGAAATGCAGACAAAAGCAGATTGTCAATTATTATTACAGTCTAATAGTTGAACTTCTATTAAAAATTTTACACAACAGGGCCAGGGATTTAGCTCAGTGGTGTTGCCGCCTACCTCGCAAGTGCAAGGTCCTGAGTTTGATTCCCAGTACCAAAAAAATATATATATATTTTTTAACACAACAAAATGTCTTGGGGATTAAGTTTTTGAGACAGGGTTCTGCTCTGTAGCCTAGACTGGCTTTGAACTCCAGCTCCTCCTCCTTCAGCCTCCCAAGTGCTGGGGTAACAGGTGTGGGCCACCATACCTGGCTCAAGGATTAGGCATATTTTATGATGGTTTTATGGTTTTATTTTGACATAAGGGTTCACTATGTAGTCCAGGCTGGCCCTGATCTCATGTAGCCCAGGCTGGTCTCAAACTCACAGTGATCCTCCTGCCTCAGCCTCCCATGTGCTGGGATAACAGGCATGTGCCACTACGCTCAGCTAGGATTAGGCATATTTTAAAGAAACATTTCAAACCAAATAAACTAGTAATGGCTTCTTCTCCAATTCTGGCAATAAAAGAAAATCCTCAGTGGAAAACCTAGAGTTTTAATTGGGTTCTCATCTATTTTCCAGCTTAGTATACTAAGTGCCTATTCTTTAAGGGCTACTAATGAATATAGTTTCAAACTATTAGTCAAATAACATACTTTCAACTTTGCAGTGTAACAATGTCAGAAATCCAAATCAAAGCCCAATATGTATAACTTTTTCAAAGTTTTAATTTCATAATCCCTAAGACATGTAATACTTTAAACATATCAAAATAAAATACTGAGCTAATTTGCTTTAACAATGAAATGTTATTGCTTAAGATTATTATGAAGCAAGCCAACCAGTTTTATTGTTAGGTATATGCTCATGTGAACTAAGGAAGATATTAACTTTCAGAAATCACTGATGTAAGTGCTAAGCGGGGCACTAAAGCGGAGGGGAGGTTTCTGGGGGAGCCTTCTCAGTGAGGACGCTCACACGCAGTGTTCTGGGCATCAGGTCTGCAGCAGTCCTGCAGGTCCACACTATGCATCTCACATACTCATGTCTCCATCCTTCTCTCCAAAACTGAATTTTAATTACTCTTTCTTTTACTTTTTCACATTTAAAAGGTATAATTAACTAGTTATTTTTTCCATGCTATATAATGAATAACTCTGAAATTCATGCTACAATCAGCTATAATCTGCTACTTAACTGGGCAGTATGCTCTGAATATACCCACATTTACTAAGTAATGAATAACTGTGTTATATAATTAACAACTGTAGAGACATGCAAAATTTTGAAAACTTAATTCATGCTAACATGCAATCCACCACCACCACCACCACCACCACCGTCACCATGAGAAGCAACTCAAGGGGGGAACTTTTCATACTGAAGGAAAGAAGTAATCACCACTGTTTTAAAAGGAGGTTTTCAACATTACCCTGGGAACGCTAAGTGAGAAAGCAGCAAGATAAGTGAGAAGATCTCATTGATAAATACCATCTTTCTCTCTATGTTCTAGCAAGTCTTCTTAATAAATCTTTTGTTCACAACAATTAATCTACCCCAAACAAAGTAGAAACCATTTCCTTACTGCAATATTAACATTTTATGGAGATTTAACTGGTTAACAAAAGAAACTCATCAAGCATTTTGGTAATCAATAGCATGAAAATAACTTGAACACATTTGACCAGAGTCAGGTGACAGAACTCCTACTCAGTGCACTATTTAATTCAAATGATCAGTAGACTTGATGTGTATTTCACAAAACAGATGCATATATGAGACCATGGCCAGATTTCAGTTATTTTTAAAGTATGGGTTTTCAACATAATTGCTAACAGAATACGTTGGTTTCTCAGGGGCTTTTCTCCTTCATGAAGAGAAGGGTTGCCTGTAGGTACCCAGCTAGAAAACAACTGTGCTACACTGCTGAAGCTCCTATTCTGCCAATTAATTCTATAAACAGTTGAGAAGCACTTGGGGGATCTTTTTTTGGTCCTTTTTTTTTAAATTAGAGAGGAACAGATGATTTATACTTTTAGGGGGGAGGGGTGGTATGCTGGGGTAGAACCCAGGGATGCAAGCATGCTATGCACACTACCACTGAGCTGCACCCCAGCCCTGATGACTCTCATCCTGTTTTCTTAATTTAAAATAGTACAATAGGACTTATCTTAAAAAACAATCCGCTGAAGACAGATTGAGGTTGTTAAAGGTACTCAATCTGCTACAATGTATCTAGAAAACAGATTTTCTTCAAACAATATCCAAACTTGGCTATGAGACTGTCCTGTGTTCCAGTAACAACCAGCACAGGATCTTCTATCGTACTTTTTAAAGGCTTTGTCTCAGAACCAGGAAGAAAACAGCCTTTAAAGGAAAATGCCAAAGCTACAAACAGCCCTAGACAATACACAGAGCCCTGGATTTCATCCTAGTATTTCTGATATTTACTACTTGTATGGATCCTAATCCAACTATAAGGTGATGGTAGGTTTTGTTTTGATTTAAATGTTCAAGATAACGCTAAATGAAAGACTCAACCTATTAGCCAGCTCCCTCGTGGTGATTACCAGTCCAGGTAGAAAAGCTCAGCCCTGTTCTGAACATGTTATTAGAGTCTCAAGTCACAAAGCCACAGCAGGGTGATACCTGTGTAATGAATCATAGGACCTGTTGTCAAAAACAATCTGATTTTTCCTTGAAGAATCCCGTCTATGAAGGGGAAAGACCATTTAAAGGGGTATACAATAGAACTTTAAAAATAATTCTAATGATGTTATTTACTGTTTCACAGGTTTCTAGTTATAGCAAAACAAGAATTAAAGGACTCAATTATCCTTAGATTAACCATTTCTCCAATAAAGAGAAGACATTTTGAAGCTAATTTTAGTTATGTGCGTATACTGTTTACCTGAAAATTACAGAGAATTTTTAAAAAGTCATTACCCAATGACTTACCCCTCCCTGTAGGCTACAGGCACAGTAAAACCCACCAACAGTGTCAAATATACATTTCTATTACTGTGACTAGTGTTAGGAGGTCACCTCAGTTAGGTGTCTGAGAAAAATAAGGAGCAATTTTTGTGCTCTACTGAAAGGTTATGCCCACCAAAAACAATTCCCTTCATTTTCTTCTGAAGTCAAATATGATCATCTTATAGTCACTTAGAAACTGAAAGCTTTAATAAACTCTAAAAGGTCGGGTGTGGTGCCATACACCTGTAGTCCCAGCACTGGAGAGGCTAAGGCAGGAGGATCGCCGTAAGTTCGAGGCCAGCTTGGACTACATATAGTGAGTTTAAGGGCAGCCTAAGCTACATAGCGAGACTCTGTCTCATACCAGCGACCCCCCAATCTAAAAAGCCTGGCTTCTTTGTGGAGCTTAACTGTGTCATCAAATCTTTACTGCACACAGAAAAAACCACACAAAAGCCAAATCCAAATGTAAACTTAGCCTAACACAAAACGGGCCTGTGATAATATGAAGTCTATTCTTGCTCTTTTTTTAAAAATTAGGTTTCTATATTAACAGTCAGGTTTTCTTTTTATGAGGCCAACATTAAGGCAGATATTTCAAAAAAAAAAGGCAGAAACCCCTTTTAGTCTTTAAATGCATACCATTTTTTTTCCCTTGGAAAGATATGAGCCTTTCAAACTGTCTCATAAACTAGGAAAAAGTTGCACCTACGTCTAAGATCTGTGGCATAAACTCAGCCACGCTGATAAAGTAGACTTCACAGAGGACATGGAACTTGTCTGACTGTGCCCATATCCTAGCCTGCCTGGATTATGATCAGAAGTTTCAATTGAGAGAGAGCAAATTTCTGCCTTATAAATTCAAGTTTTTAAGTTTTAATTTGCTTTCTTATAAGATTACAGCCTTTTTCTCCATCTGACTTTCAGTTTAAAATATAAAATTTCTGTCATTCAGGCAAACGGGGAAATGTGAATATATACTGTTTAAATAATATCATTGTTCAATGTTAAATTCCTCGGGAGTTATAATGCTATTCTGGTACACAGGAGATGTCCCCATTCTTTAGAAAAATACTACAGTATTTAGGGTGAATCAGCATTTGTCTGAAAACCACTTTCAAACTATTCAGAAGAAAAAAAATGTGTTGATACATAAATAGTGAGACAAATGTGGCAAATGTTAACAGCTGGTCAGCCCAGGGTATTTCCTGTACTATTCTTTCATCTCTTCTCCAGTTTAGAATATTTCAAAATACTGGGAGGCATAAAGCTGCCTTAAAATTTCAGACAATCTGGCTAACAAATATAGGATGAATTTATCAGACATCACCAGTAAAATTACAATGGGCTCAGCAGTATGACTGTCTAGTAGTAGGAGGATTACAGGTGTTTTGTGAGTTCCTTCGTACAATTTATAATCTACAACTGGATATTTTCCTTTTTAGATACACGTCATATAAAACTTTTTAAAAAACACTGGTACCTGGAGATGACAGGGGACTTGCTGCCATTCACTGCATTTGCTCTTTCCCAAGGCTTTCTGGTTGGTTCTTCAAAAGCAAAGAACAAATGCATTAAATATCCCTTATGTTTCCAGAGGTGCCATAAAACAAACAACAAAATACTACAGGGCCACTGCAAAATATGACAATACCATTATACTGGTTTATACTGTAGCAATACAGATAAATCATTTTTAATTTAAATTTTAAACATTAACGATTCTAATTTGCACAATTTCACACCCTTAAGAAATTAATAAGAAAATTAGTAAGTTTCCTTTTAGAAGCCCTTAGAGTCTTAATTCTTGGGACTTTCAGACAATTCCAATTAAATATAAGTAAGTTCCCTCCAAGTTCTTACAAAGGACACTGCAGTAACCCACTGGCCAGCCATCGACTGTGCTTATTTGAATTGTTTTTGTACTTTGGGTGACTTGGCTGGCATGTCACTGGCCCAACTGGACAATGGGATGAAATCAGAAGTGGAAACTTGTCTGGGAGAAAAACTTTTTGGGCCACATGAAGATTAAGATACGAGTTGTGATCTTATCATATAGTTTTAACTGAGGTATTGCACTGAGTTTTGATGAAGCCCCTCAATGGGCTTTGCAGTCTCCTCAAAATATGCACATGCAAAACTAAATTCAAACTCCCCCTTGAAGCACCACTTTGTTTCTGCATTTCTGCTTCAAGCTGACATCCAGGTGCAAACCTTAAAGCTGCCACTAATCTTGCTTGGCTCCTTGTCACTCATGGAATTCTTTCTTCATTAAACGTTTCTGTTCTTTCTTTTGTACCCTAACAGCTAATACACTCTCTCATTGATGCCACAGTGGTGCCAAGTCCCAGAGTTGGCTGGGGACCACCAAATAATCACATCGTGCCCTGAGGGGCACAATCAGTGACCCATCCAACCCAGCAGCCAGGCAGGTGAAGGGGGAAGTCCTGAACAAAATTAGGCAGAGAGGAGAACAGTCATCAGGACACTGCACCACAGAGGCAACTGGAAAGCTGGGGTGTAATTTCAAAGAGGAACAGATGCAGTGATTGCTACCTAATGGTAGCTAAGTCCTTGTCAATTAGACAAATGTGAATACCCTTCACTTTTAAAGGGGAGAGGGCTAAGATCGGCGTGCCTCAGGAGGAAGGGCAGAGCTGCCTGCTCTGTAGGGCCAAGGTATGAAGCCATCTTGGGCAAGGCTGGGGTGCCTCAAGAGGAAGGGCCAAGGCTGGTCCCCGCAAAGGCTCTCTGGAAACACACTGGCTCCCTGCACTAGGAGCTTCCTCACTGAATTCACTATGTCAGTCCTCCCTGGTTCCACATCACTGTGCTCACAAGTGCCATCTTTACGTGCCTCCAGCAATTTTAGCTGGTGATGTTAACTTGACACTTGCAGTGTAAGCCTAAACTGATCTTCTCATGAAGGGCTCTAAACATTTTCTCTTTCTAATTCACCTTTTCAACTTATTTTTCCAATGCTTTCCAAAAAGAACTCTTCCCTCTAGACTGCTTCCATTTGCCACCTCCCAGTCTCTTCCTGTTTGTGATACACTGCCTTCTCGAGGATCGCTCTGTCCCCATGGCAGCCATACCCAACACTCTACTTCCAGTGTGCAGCCACACATCACCCACATGTCGCCCTTTTCCACAAAGATGGCCCAAGTGACACTGCACGATCTCCTCCCTCTCTGGCTGTTATAGTTTGGGTCTAGATGTCCCCGCAAAGCCTCATGTGGTCATACGCAGGTGAGTCTAGAGTGCGTGATGCTAGGATTAAGGGTATGTGGAGACTAAACCACTACATGTGGTGACTGGTTTGGCGCTGCCCTAATCCCAGCAGTCTGAATAAGACAAAAGGGGCAGAACGACGCTGTTAAAGTTCCTTGTTGCCTTTGCTGCCTTGTGGGCACCGTAAGCTGCTTTTCCTTTGTGACACCCTTCCCGCTCCTCTTGTTGCTTTTGCTGCTTCCTCTGCCACCCTGTCTTGAAGGCAGCCAATGAAGGACTGAAACCTCTATGAACTGTGAGCCAAATAAACCCTTCCCCTAACTTTGGGTGTTAGGTATAAGTAACTAACACACTGGCCGACCGGGATCCAGTATCTGGTCACAGTAGATTAACCTTCCTTCAACATGCCTCAAATGTACTATGAGTTTTCTGCTCAAGACACCTCACTTCCTTTTGGCCTATCAAGTGCCTAATACAATGTTAGTTTAAAAGAACCCTGAAACACATGAAAACAGCCACATGCCCATCTGAATGAATTCCTGATTTTATATATGTCACATACATGCAAAACACAGGGTTTAGTTTTTCGTATCTGAATTAAGGGGATGTGGATTTGGGGTCCATGGTGAACCTTCAGAGAATCATGAGCATATCTGTACCCAGTGAATTCCCTCTCTGGGTAGAGAATATTCTACTACTCTTACCATGTTTTTTTTCCTGGTACTAGGGATTGAACTCAGGACCCTGCACTTGAGAGGCAGGCGCAGAGCCACTGAGCTAAATCTCTGGCCTTACCCTTATCATATTTTAATGACTCAATGACCCTAAAATTTGGTTCAGTTCTAAAGTATCTACAGTCTTAATGATGCTATATATAATTAATTTTGTAAGAGTCCTATTTAGGAGAAAAACAAAATGGGGTGACAAAAAACAGTTCACAAAGTCACAATATAATTATAATATAGCAATCAAGACTACTGAATGGTTGCTGTTAAACAAACCCATGAGACTGAGGGACTGTGTGCGTGGGGATCCATTACAATCACAAAAACAAAAGGATGTGTTTGTAAAAAAATAAAATTACAAAAAAAAGAGAGGAAAGAAGCCATTTTATTGGTGGCTGGTAATCTCTAAATTAAAATATGTAGAAATTAATACAGATACTTCTCTATACTGACTTCTTGTGGACCTTTCTGAATATTAACTCATTCAATTTATTTATGTCACTTCATTCCAAAATAGGCAAGGAAGTAAACAGCCTGGTTTGCAGTCTCTGGACAGCCACACAGCAAGCAGCCTAACGTCGCACCTTGGATGTACTGCTCTCTGACAGCCTCCAGGAACATGTGTTTTGTTAACATTTCTGAAAAGCTTTTAAGAGATTCTTTTTAGCTTATAAATCAGAAGCTTCATTTCCTTGATTAGCAACATCATGCAAATGAATGGTTAAAATGATAACCTTCTCAATTTGAGAATGTTTTGAAATATAACAGTGCTAGCTAACATGCTCGCTTAATTTTCACCTTTAAGAACTATTAAATCATTGACAATAATGCACTAGATTTTATAAGTGTAAAAATTATAGTTGTCAAAAAAAGGTAAGAGAAAAAGGGTCAATGTATTCATGTGTGAAAAGGAACTTTAACATTTTAGACACCAAGCAGTTAGTCCAAATATGAGAAAAGAGAAATTTTTAATTGGCGAGTATTAGAATTTAAGGAAAGTTGACAAAGATTAAAGTATTTCTCCTGAACTTACCAGGTGTACTTGTTGAAGAGGCCTTTGAAGTTACAGGCTCAGCATCTTCCTAATGTACAGAAACACATGCATTAGCACCCCTGTTGGGCACCTGCTGCGTGCACACTGAGCCCACACCCCTCCCTCCCCTTGGCTTTGACTTCTTGCTCCTCTTCTTCCTGGCATTCCCCTCTGATCCCCAGAGCGCCTAGCCTGGTGTGTTCTCATTGAGGACCTGTGCTAGCTACTGCTAGGAAGCCACAGGAGACAGAAGTGACCCAGAAGTGTGGAGAAAACAGTTACACAAGGAATAGACAGAGGAGAGTTTGCCCAGATGGACTGGGGAGGATGGCATGAAGGTTTCATACTAAGGGACACAAACCTTCCTAGAAGATGGCACTCACTCATTTCAAGGGGAATAAGAACAGAATTAACTCCACAGGCTTGAACCTCAGCGCTTTTCCCAAGACTCCTTATCATCAACTCGTTTTACTAAGAAAACCACTGTAATTTATAACTGTTTCCCCTAAAATAACACCTAACTGGAAAACAAGCACTGGTCGTTATCGTGGTGATGGCCAGGGTCACGCAGAAGGTACCTCACTATTCTCTCATTTGGTGGCCACTCTGGAACAGCAGGTAAGGCAAAGTGATTGGGATTAGCATTTTTGAACTCTAGTTTTCAAGGCTGATTATTTTTTCGGTTCAGTTTTATTTTCAGGGAAACAGGGTAACACAACAAGGCATTTTGCGGGGCATTTTAAATACCTAAACAAAATAAGCAAGCGTAACTCTGAACTAATTAAGGTCAAGTTAAATAGTCATTGGCAGGGTTTTCTGAATGGGCTGTGCTGGTATTCCACATTCTATGGTGGGTGCTGGCTTTACTCACGTACACTTTTGTCCTCTTTTTGTTCTGCTTCTATTGTTGATCCCTTTTCAGCAATTCTTCTCCTAGAAGGAAGGCAAATTGGACTTTTTAAAAACATCACGTAACTCTCAGTATAAAATTTCCTTCTCTAAGAGGGAAGAATTACATCTACTCAAATTATATTCAGAATAAAATTAACAAAATCCTCCAGATTATGGACATGTCTGCTACAGTGAGATTTCTCACCTCCTGGCCAGCAGGGCACTCATTTCTTCCATTAAGCCGCTGCCCCCTAGAGGAAGGGGCCCGTTCCCTCGACTGGAGTCGGCTTTGGAGGAGGCTGAGTTCACAGCATTGGTACTCCCTCCACTAGGGAAAGAGGCATCCTCCATCTTAACAAGAAGATACACAGGATAATTTTCTATGTTAGTCATATCAATGTTAATTTTTTAAAATATGCAAATATTTTTAAGCCTTAAAATAGTGTTGACTTTATATACCAACAGTTTTATCAAAGCTAACACCATCAGTATTAGGGTGAAACAGTACTGGGTGTCTCCCTACGTGATACGCCCCAGAAGAAAGCATCGTGCTGAGTAGTGTGGGGTGGTTTCTGCAACTGCACACAGGTTCAGACAAGTACGGAGCGCCTGAAGGGACATCCTGGTACACGGCCCCTGGCCCTTAGTGCGCGCTCCGTGCCTCACTGTGGCTCCAAGCCCAAACTGAGTCATGGGGCTCTGGCCCCAGCAGCTTCTCTCTATCCGCAGGCCCACTCCAGGAGCTAGAGAAGCCCTTCTTGCACAATACAGGGAGAAGTACTCAACTGTCTTTCTGCTCCCCAAATGCCCAACCTGAATTGAATCTTGAAGAAAAAAATCAGATATGCCAAACTGAAAGAAAAATCTAAAAAAATAGCTGAGTCTTCAAAGATGTCAGTAGTATGAAAGACTGAAGAACAGTCACAGTCTACACTAATGTGGCATTACAAGTAAACACAACAGAAGACCATGAAAGAAAATTGCCATAAAAATCGCCACAAAATTGCCATAAAAAGATATTGGAAAGCAGATCTGAATACATTTCAGAATAAATTTGAAAACAGTGCTAAATTTCCTAATTTTAATAGCTACCCTGTACTATGTACATGACCTTGTTCTTACAAAGTACTGTACATACCAAGGTTACTGAGGGAGATGAGCATGATGTTCCCAACATACTCGCAAGGTATGCAGACAAGGCTGTGTGTGCACAGGCGGAACCACACACAAAGAAGGGGGCAGGTACTGGTGACATACTAACTGGTGAATGCAGACGATAGATTCACAAATTTATATGATCCTTGGAACTTTGTGGTACATTTTAATCATTTTGAATTCTAACCAATAAGGCTAGTAGCATAGGTTCATAAAGGTAGAAGTCACAAACCCAGTATCTTAGATATTTAGAATAAGACACACATGTACATGGCAGTCGTTTGGAAGCGCAATTACCCGTGACACTTTCCTCAGTTTTGCTCCAGCAATTGCAGCTGCAAGTCCAGTTAAAGGGCGATGGTCTTCCAGCACAGGTCCCGACAAAAATCCAGCCACAGGGAGGGGCGGGGCAGGAG